TCTCTCCCTCCTGCTGACAATTTACGTTGTAGTTTTTTTTTTTTTATTTTGGTGTTCAAATAGGCACATTTTATGTATGAGTGAAGGTACTTATTCATAAACCTAGGACTGTATTGGTCAAAAATGGAGCAAGATTCTCATGAACTGCCCCTTTGAGCATGAGCATGCATGTATGGGCATGTTTTGAAGTACAGGATTTCAACCTGCAGGGATACAATATTGGGAAATATGGCATGAACTTTCTCTGTCTGATATCTCACTGAAGTCAAGGGGGGTGGGAGGGAAGGAATGCATTATGGACAATAATAACCATTGTGACTGGGGTTCTTGAAGGAGGATCTGTCCGTAATTGAATAATTAATTTCCCTTTCAACTTTGTTTTTCACTTTTTGGTGATGGATGTACACACAGTGTGTTGCCTTAATTCATTTTGTTATTGCCCAGTCATAGAGTTCAGTACGTCCATATATGCAATTTTGATGAAGGCTTATTTTCAGTATCTTTGGCTGAGGGAGACATACAGTAAGCAAGACCTCTGCATGAACTAAACTTTTGAGGAATGCATATCTTTAGAATACAGACTGATTGAAGAGGTTTTTGGATGATAAATATGGTAACAACATATGAGAGATGCCATTTAATTTTTGCAGAATGATCTTCAACAATAAGACAGTTTTATAGATTTGTTAGATTTGTCACATTGTGTTTCAATTGATCACAAAATCACTGACTTCTATATCATTAGTTGCAAATTATTATTATTATTATTATTATTATTATCATCATCATTAGTTAGCCCTGCATTTTCATGATTTTAATAGTGTTGAGTTAAATTGTTTAGTCTGGATCAAGAGCAAGCAGTTGAGATGCAGTTGCAGAACGTTGAAGTGGATGAATGGGAGATTGCAGTTGACCGTTTAACACTTCAAGAGGTCATTGGCAGGGGGGCATTTGGAGCAGTCTGGAAAGCACTTTTGAGTGAGTCAGATGGAAAACCTGGAAATCGGACAGTCGCTGCAAAATGCTTTACACGTAAGATCATGTACAGATGTACTGTAGGAGTAGCAAGACAAACTGAGATATGTGTTATTCTATTCTATATTGCACATGTAAACTCTATCTCATTCTGTGTTGCAGTCAGGCAATCAATGACCTTTTCATTATGACCCAAACAATGATTCCTTTCTCTCTTTCAATTGCCATTGATCATATAGCACTATCTTCGCCCTGGTAAGAGTTCACTTGTCTAGTTACGCTCCTTTCAACTGTAAACTCCATTTACAAAAGTAGGAACTTAAATTTTGTTGCCCCTCACCAGAGGCTTACTATATCCTCTGTTTGTGTGGCGCGCCCCAAGATACTCAAACGTCTTGGTTATTACCATATTAAATACTTGATCGTATTAAAATTATATTTACATCAGTGTAGATATTATGAAATGAAGTAAAAGTAATAGTTACACATTGTTTATGTTTGCTTTTTTTTTGCAACTTGAAGAATATATGCATACATACTTTACATTATTTGTTATATACTAGGTCATTAAATAGGCAGCTAATACATGTTGCTGATGTAGTCCTACCAAAGAAAGAATAATTACACAATTTTGCGAAAGCTTACTTTATCTATTTATTTTCATCGCATGTCAATGCCGTTCTCTCAGTAGTATAATATATAGCTACTATAGTTTATTTGTACCTCATTATGTTGTGGTGTTACACTGCAGCCACTTCTGGCGAAGATGGAAGGAAGTCTCTGATGAGAGAAATTGAGCTGGGAAAGCTTCTTGGAGGAAAACCTCAGGCAAACATTGTCCAGTTTATTGGCTGTGTTACCACCCAAGGTAAAACGTTGCAATTATTGTGCTTGGTAAATCAGTTATGGAAATTATTTCTTATTTGGCTTCCTTCTTGCATATCTAAGAGCTATATTTGTTACGTTAAGCCTAGGATAAAATGTCACCATATTTCTAAGTAGAATAAAGGATGTGATCTGTGGAAATACAAATGAAATGAGGATCATTGTAGTTGTTATCACAATTTAAACGATATTGTAAGTTAAGCCCTACAAAGGACTTTCAGGCTTCGACAGGATTTGGAACTGTAGCCTGCATTACTGCTGTAGTGCAGAGCTATGAAGACCCATACATTGGAGCAGACCAGTTTATCTTGTCCTGTGAAAGGAAGTGAAACATAGACTGAATGATGTGAACTGCAGAAATACAATGGAAAATGTAATTTTTGATAATCAGTATTCACATAAATTAATATTTTGCCTACGCGGATCAGAGAACTGGGTGCGAGATTAGTACGCGAAGGCTCATGGGTGGTACGTTTGTGAAAAGAGACGGTTGAGAAACTTTTGACATTCTACGGTCAGCCTTGTCACTAGCACTTTCGCATAAGGTTTACTTTTATTGTGAAATTAGCGTTATTTGATTTTTTTTTTATTCTGTTGTTTATATATCAACCTTAAAACCCCAGAGATGGCGCCACTGCATTTGGTCGGGGGTACACGGTCCGTATTTTTCCTAACAAGAGGTTTTTGGGGTTTACGTGTCCAGCTTTGGCGCATGCAGGACCTTACCTGATGTATCTTTTATCCACTTAGTTGTAAGCTTATTGTTACAAGTAAACCATATCTTTGGCCTGGCTGACCAACGCGCCCATGCCTCAACCTTTGAGTGTGTTTGGTTGCGTAGTGAAGGCAAAATTGAAAATGTGATCATAGTTATTGTAATTTAAGCAGAAGACTTCTTAACCTGTAAAAGGAAATAAAACCTTGTCAACATTGACATTGCATGTCCAAAATTGCCAAACAAGACACAACAAACGCTCAAAAACACATTGCCATCTCAGGGGCCCAGACCTGGATCATGCAATCCTGTGTCCTGTATAGTAATTGTTAGGCAATCTCAGTTATCAAATTTCGCAATAACAATGTATAGAGCACCTCAAAAGGTGAGTTGACTGTAGATTATTGTTCTTGACCATGCTCTCATTCTCTTAGTTCATCCAATCATGCTCATGGAGTACTTGGTGTGCGGTGACTTGCTGGGTTATCTGAGAAAAAGCCGTGGAATCCATGATAAGTATCATCTTGGACAGGGAAGTGTTTCAGAACTGGAAATATATGATCTAGTTTTGTTTTCCAAACAAATTGCTGCTGGTATGGTGTTTCTTGGATCCCGAGGGGTAAGTAACTGTGTCAAAAAAATAGGATTGCAACAAAATTCCACAAGCTAACACATTAACACTTAAAAAAATTTCATACTCGTCCTGTATTTTATTACAAACTCTCCATCTCCAAGTAGTAGTATGTTGGTGTTAAGTGATTTTATAAGCATATTTTCATTAAATAAGTTTTCTTCTTTACGTAGTGTTAGGTTTGTGCTTGAGCCTATTGACCCATCAGGCCAGGGTTTATCTCTGGTTTCAGACGCATGAAGGGACTAGGAATATTCCCACTCTTCCCCCCTCCTCCCTTAGATGGCATGCTAGTCCATCGCATGGCCACCCCCAACATTAGGAGTGAATGTCAATAAAAATCAAAGAAAATTCTAAGAACATGGCCACGATCAAAAAAACCGATTTTTCTCATACTTTGCCAGTTTAAAGGCCTAGGTAATTAACTGAAGGAAACCAAGTTAGTTTTTGAAATATCCAATATAACGGCAGAAATTCACGAAAAACGGTCTTCGTACCGAAAGCTCAGATTTCACTTCGCCATAATCCGAAATTTTACACTTTTCATCTCCTTGCTAAACAGACGTTTACATCGCTGTGAAAGGTTCTCAACTTCAAATGTATACATTGATTCTTCCTTAATCAAGATATGGTAATTATTTTCATTTCTTGTGTTTTCTAAGCGAACTGAGCCCCGACTAAATAGACATACTTTTCTAATTAAAACAGAACTCAAAAGTTATGCAAATTCAGTGAGGAAAAAAGCTGACCGGTAGTGATACAAATCGTCTGATATTCTAGCAAAAGACATTTCAGTCAATGAAGCTTAGGTTTATTGTTTCATTTTTGTGGGATCTACTAGCAATTTTCTATGAACTTCGAGAAAATAGTAATTCACCCCCTTTGAAATTTGCAATGTAACGCAACACGCTAAAATAGGTAAAAGCAATTTTGTTCGCTTGAGACAGGACAATCAAAGCAGATTAATGTCTTTAACGTTTGAAACGGTTTAAAAGTAGTATTTAACTTAAAAAAAATCGCCGACAAGAGTTAAAAAAAACAGAAAAAGAAACACCAAACTTTTAAATCGCACCATCTCTCTCGCTGCCCGGCGTCACGCTCGAGCGACTTTTCAAGGAAAGACAAATTTGAAGCCATTTGTTCACCGTTCAAAATGAGTCATTTTAATAAGGAGATCTTTGTTTTTGCTGCGCGAAACCTGGCATTAATAAGAGAGGATTTCCCAGTTAACCTCCTGAACGAAGTAAAAAGGGTCCCAATGGTATATACATGTTGGAACGATGTTAGAGATTAGAATTTAGCTTTATGCCGTCGTTAGCCAGTAGGAAACTATCTGTTCGCGCGAAAAGGTTGTGTTGTATCGATAACCAAACAAACAACGCACTTATCAAAGAAGAATCGGAGTGATCTGGATGAGTTAGAGACACGCCGGAAAGACGATGCTGCGCGACTTCGTTCTTCAATAAGGTGGGATCTGTGGCGTAAACAAACGCAGTTACGGTCATGCCGCTCATACAGTGTAACAAGGATATCAAAAGCCACTAAAAGTCCTTCAGATATTTTGCATTGAGACATGAGTGAAGAATATTTCTGGCAAATGTATGTGTTATATATGAGAATACCGCTGACCATTATGCATAGTTGTGCAAGTGTTGAGTTATTGTTTAACCAATGACATTAAACAACGTGGTCGGAATTGAGACGCAAAATGGCGTCTGTGTCATGAATATGTAACATGGTGTCAAAATAGTGGGATTTCGAGCGCCACGGAACACATCAGGATGGCCGAAGGATACGCCAATTCGTCGTTGAACTGGCCAAGAATGAACTGGACCGCTGCGGACCTGAGTAAAGAATGGGAAAGGTTTTATCAACATTGCGAATTCACGTTCGGAGGACCTCTCAGCAAATGCACTGAGAAGGAAAAAATATGCAACCTTATGAGCTTCGTCGGCGACAAAGGCCGAGAAATTTACCTCACTTTCCAGTGGAAAACTGTGCAAGTTGGATCTGGAGAAAGTGCACAAAATGTAAATGAAAAAGACATACTCCAAAGATATGTCGCAAAGTTTAAAGCACACCTCGAAGCAAAGAAGAACCCAATTATGGCGGCAGTTAAATTTGATCGAAGACGCCAGTTACAAGGGAAAACGTTTGAATCCTTTGTCACCGATCTTAAGCTCCTGGCCCGTGGTCTGGACATGACAGAGACGAATAAGTTGATCCGGAACGCCATCGCATGCAAATCTCTGGACGAACGAGTGAGGCAACGCTGCTTGGAGAAAAGTAAAAACCTTACCCTGGAAATGGCAATTGACATCGGTCGGATGTTCGAAGCGACCAAGGATGGAATGCAAGTGATGTCTGGTGAAGACCCGA